ACGCTCCACGCAGCTAACGAGACAAGTCTCAGTTCGTGAGTCCATCTTGGAGCTCAGTTTGTCCATGCACTTATCCCAGCAAACATCCGTAAAGTTGTGAACCTGAATAGAGTGTTAAACAGGATTAACACCCACCAGGCTTGGTTTTGAATGATAGCAAAACGGTACTGAAGAGTTACCCACCTGCGCTTGAAACTGAGCCTTTTGCTGCTCTACTGCAATCAGACGCTGGAGCTCCGCAGCTTCAGCGCTTTCAGATGAACTAGCCGACGGCATATCAAAGCTAGAATTAAAATCAGCCATGGCGAAACTTTACTGACAGATTATATGCACGGGAACACGTGAAGGGTAACGCAACTGCACTCACTGACAGGAATGGACGTAAAGACAAATACCTCCGCCGCAAAAATATGACGTCATGACGGCTCGTTCTTCTTCTTCATGTTTTATGGCGGGTGGCATCCAACGTTAAGGTGCATTACCGCCACTTACTAAACTGGAGTGTAGACCAGAGTGACTAACAGAACTTTATATATAAAAAATAAATAAAAACAATTATTAATAATAAAAATAACAATTATACTTTATATTCTATTTATTAACCCAGTTTCCCTCAATTAATACAATTAAAGATTATAATTTCCTGTTTGACCGAGTATTTGCTTTGCATCTAGTATCTCCTGTGGTGTCCTTCTGAATATTTCTCTTTCTATAATATATTTTTGGCAGTGACATAGAACATGTTCTACTGATTCCTCCTCCTGACAATACTCACACAGACCTGTGGGATGTTTTCCAATGAGATGTAATGTCTTATTTAGTCTTGTGTGACCCAGTCTTAACCTTGATATTATATTTTCCTCCTTGGTACTTCGCCCTGTCATCCTCATCCTTCCCACTTCTTTCTGGATGTTATAAAGATGTCTGCCTGTACTTCCCTTGTTCCATGGCAGAGCACTAATTCTGAGTATGGGTCTCCATACTTGGCCACATGTCACGTCACTAAGGGGTACCATTATCTACCAGATACTTCCTGGACAAAGCTGTACCAATTATAACTCGAATAGATCGGTCAAATCCAATTAAATACTCTTCCTGAAATTCCTATTTTATTTAACTTAATCATTAGTCCCTCCTTCCAAACCATATCGTATGCTTTCTCAACATCAAAGAAAACTGCCATAACTGATTCTTTGTTAACCTGTGCCTTCTTGATTTCTGTTTCCAAACATACAACTGGGTCCATTGTTCCTCTCCCTCTCCTGAATCCACTCTGATAAGGTGATAAAAGTTCCTTTGTTTCCAGATAAAATGTCAGTCTTTCAGTAATCATCCTTTCCATTATTTTGACTAAATGCGATGTTAGAGCTATTGGCCTATAGTTTACCGGTTTTGAAGGATCTTTCCCTGGCTTCCTAATAGGAATAATCACTGCTTCTTTCCAAGCATTAGGCAGTTTTCCCATATCCCACACTTTATTATATAGACCTAGGAGTTTCGAATCTGCTAAAGTACCTAGATGTTTTAACATTATATAGCAGATTCCATCTTCCCCAGGAGATGTTAATCCAGATCTTGCTATTACTCTTCTCATTTCACCCAGAGTAAATGGAACATCCAAAACACTATTATTCTCGTGCCTCCTCTCCAGAACTCCAGGATGATCTGCTCTAGTCTTCATGTTTCCTCTCTTAGCCTCCTCTGATAAATTATGAGAACTATGTATTTTAACCAGTTCTTTTGCAATAATTTCTGCCTTCT